GCCCTCTGGGCGGTAGGTGGTTTAGAGACTTAGCTTTTCCAACATCATCCTTCCCGTCGGGGAGAGTTTTACCTCTCCCCCTACCCCTTCCCCCTGGTCTGGAGGAGCCTGGTCGCGAAGCGTTGGAGCGTCCAATCTGGCTCAAGATGGCCCTAAGAGGGCCCCACATAGCCCATGGTAGCCTCCAAAATCGCTCAAGATATCCCGAGATGGATTAAGATAGCCTCCAGCATGCCTCCAAGAGGCTCAGAGACTTGCCAATATTGCCCCAAGCGGCCACGGAGCCTCCCAAGGACGCCCCGAGGGGCCCAAATCAGTCAAAAATCAACGGACAACAATGATGTTCGCAATCTTGTTTTTTCGCTTCCGCTGAGCTCGCTCAAGATAGAAAGGGCCCCAGAGGGGCCTAAGACGGCCCCAATGGGGCCCCAAGAGAACCCCAAAGGCTTCCAAGATGGTTCCAAGAGGGCTCCAAGATAGCCAAAGTAAACTGCCAAGAGGCTCCTATATCGACGGGCCCGCGAAGGCATTTATGGTTGACTCCTGGGCGTGCTCATACTTCGCTGAGGCCCATCCCTAGACGTGTTCCAATCCCCCCAAAAACAGAGCTCCAAAAGTGAAAGGCGAAAAGGCACGCAGATCGTGGAGCAAATCCACTGAATACTCCCTCCATGCCGCGCGCAGAAGCCTGCTGCTGCGAGCGCTGGAATGCAAGGCGTTTCGGGGCCTGGCCCACAACATGGCGTGCCAGTGCAGCGCGCGGCGTAGCCCAACATCGAAACTGCGATACAAAATCAGCGCGCGGCACCATTGCCCAACACGCCACTACGGCACACATTGAAGCTAACACAGGCGCGGCAGTGCACAGCATTGCGCGCAGTGGCCTCATGCAGCGGGCTGGGTCATATTCACGCATGCGAGTGTGCCGCAATGAGAATCATCGCACAGCATGGCTGTGCTGGAGGCATGGTTTGGGAGGGGGCCTGACCCAAATTGCCCGTTCCCGGACAAATCGATGCCCGCGAAACGGGCAGGTTGCCACGCAAGGAAAGCGCCACAAAAATTGCAACCAACCACTTACCACAAAAAACGAACCGCGCGCCACAAAAATTGCAAGTCAAATGCGCGGCAAAGAATCGGCCACGAAACCTGCCCCAAAACTGCGTCGCAAAAGTGCACCAAGCATGTTGCGACAACGCTTTGTCCACAACATTGCCGCGCAACTGCACCGCAATAACCGAACGGCCAAGCATGGCAACAAAATGCTCAAACAACTGACCAACACGCAAAACAAAAAGGTCACTCGACCATCGCCGCGTGCATGCCCAGACAGGGGAAACGATGATGCTGCCCTTTTTGTGGAGCTTTTTGCGGCGCTTTGTGCGGCGAGGACCGCTGGGATTTTGCTCCCGCGCGATTGCGGGCGCTAGTTGGGGTCCTCTTTCAGGTACTTTTTAAGGATGCTGTTGTCAACTCCTCTGTGGGGTATTTTTGGGGATGCCAGTCCCTGCGCTGGTGACTCCAGGGGCGCCGACGAGCCAATGGCCCAGCTTAGGTCACACGTCATCGATGTCCAGCGCTGTTTGGGCCCACTTGTAATGGCGTGGCTGGGCCGCTACCCAATCCAAAACTCGATGCTCTGCTAAGAGCTGCGCGCCGCTCTGCAGAGAATTAGCCTGACGAAAGACCCAACCATACGTAGTTGTGAATACCGCAATTGTGGGTATATTCTTCGGTGGCGCCCCCGGGCCACGAAACGAGTGAGGGGTGTGCCGAAATGGGGGGGTGGAACCGCATGCGAGCGCAGCCACTGGGGCGCTCGGTGGAGCTCCCTATGGAGCCACGAAACGTGTGAGGGGTGTGCCAGAATGGGGGGTGGAACCGCATGCGGGCGCAGCCACTGGGGCCTTCGGTGGAGCTCCCTATGGGGCCACGAAACGTGTGAGGGGTATGCCAGAATGGGGGGTGGAACCGCATGCGGGCGCAGCCACTGGGGCCTTCGGTGGAGCTCCCTATGGGGCCACGAAACGTGTGAGGGGTGTGCCAGAATGGGGGGTGGAACCGCATGCGGGCGCAGCCACTGGGGCCTTCGGTGGAGCTCCCTATGGGGCCACGAAACGTGTGAGGGGTGTGCCAGAATGGGGGGTGGAACCGCATGCGGGCGCAGCCACTGGGGCCTTCGGTGGAGCTCCCTATGGGGCCACGAAACGTGTGAGGGGTGTGCCAGAATGGGGGGTGGAACCGCATGCGGGCGCAGCCACTGGGGCCTTCGGTGGAGCTCCCTATGGGGCCACGAAACGTGTGAGGGGTGTGCCAGAATGGGGGGTGGAACCGCATGCGGGCGCAGCCACTGGGGCCTTCGGTGGAGCTCCCTATGGGGCCACGAAACGTGTGAGGGGTGTGCCAGAATGGGGGGTGGAACCGCATGCGGGCGCAGCCACTGGGGCCTTCGGTGGAGCTCCCTATGGGGCCACGAAACGTGTGAGGGGTGTGCCAGAATGGGGGGTGGAACCGCATGCGGGCGCAGCCACTGGGGCCTTCGGTGGAGCTCCCTATGGGGCCACGAAACGTGTGAGGGGTGTGCCAGAATGGGGGGTGGAACCGCATGCGGGCGCAGCCACTGGGGCCTTCGGTGGAGCTCCCTATGGGGCCACGAAACGTGTGAGGGGTGTGCCAGAATGGGGGGTGGAACCGCATGCGGGCGCAGCCACTGGGGCCTTCGGTGGAGCTCCCTATGGGGCCACGAAACGTGTGAGGGGTGTGCCAGAATGGGGGGTGGAACCGCATGCGGGCGCAGCCACTGGGGCCTTCGGTGGAGCTCCCTATGGGGCCACGAAACGTGTGAGGGGTGTGCCAGAATGGGGGGTGGAACCGCATGCGGGCGCAGCCACTGGGGCCTTCGGTGGAGCTCCCTATGGGGCCACGAAACGTGTGAGGGGTGTGCCAGAATGGGGGGTGGAACCGCATGCGGGCGCAGCCACTGGGGCCTTCGGTGGAGCTCCCTATGGGGCCACGAAACGTGTGAGGGGTGTGCCAGAATGGGGGGTGGAACCGCATGCGGGCGCAGCCACTGGGGCCTTCGGTGGAGCTCCCTATGGGGCCACGAAACGTGTGAGGGGTGTGCCAGAATGGGGGGTGGAACCGCATGCGGGCGCAGCCACTGGGGCCTTCGGTGGAGCTCCCTATGGGGCCACGAAACGTGTGAGGGGTGTGCCAGAATGGGGGGTGGAACCGCATGCGGGCGCAGCCACTGGGGCCTTCGGTGGAGCTCCCTATGGGGCCACGAAACGTGTGAGGGGTGTGCCAGAATGGGGGGTGGAACCGCATGCGGGCGCAGCCACTGGGGCCTTCGGTGGAGCTCCCTATGGGGCCACGAAACGTGTGAGGGGTGTGCCAGAATGGGGGGTGGAACCGCATGCGGGCGCAGCCACTGGGGCCTTCGGTGGAGCTCCCTATGGGGCCACGAAACGTGTGAGGGGTGTGCCAGAATGGGGGGTGGAACCGCATGCGGGCGCAGCCACTGGGGCCTTCGGTGGAGCTCCCTATGGGGCCACGAAACGTGTGAGGGGTGTGCCAGAATGGGGGGTGGAACCGCATGCGGGCGCAGCCACTGGGGCCTTCGGTGGAGCTCCCTATGGGGCCACGAAACGTGTGAGGGGTGTGCCAGAATGGGGGGTGGAACCGCATGCGGGCGCAGCCACTGGGGCCTTCGGTGGAGCTCCCTATGGGGCCACGAAACGTGTGAGGGGTGTGCCAGAATGGGGGGTGGAACCGCATGCGGGCGCAGCCACTGGGGCCTTCGGTGGAGCTCCCTATGGGGCCACGAAACGTGTGAGGGGTGTGCCAGAATGGGGGGTGGAACCGCATGCGGGCGCAGCCACTGGGGCCTTCGGTGGAGCTCCCTATGGGGCCACGAAACGTGTGAGGGGTGTGCCAGAATGGGGGGTGGAACCGCATGCGGGCGCAGCCACTGGGGCCTTCGGTGGAGCTCCCTATGGGGCCACGAAACGTGTGAGGGGTGTGCCAGAATGGGGGGTGGAACCGCATGCGGGCGCAGCCACTGGGGCCTTCGGTGGAGCTCCCTATGGGGCCACGAAACGTGTGAGGGGTGTGCCAGAATGGTGGGTGGAACCGCATGCGGGCGCAGCCACTGGGGCCATCGGTGGAGCTCCCTATGGGGCCACGAAGCGTGTGAGGGGTGTGCCAGAATAGGTGTGGGAGGAGGGGAGGGGGGAGGAAGGGGAGGAGGAGGAAGGAGGAAGGAGGAAGGAGGAACGCGGGGACCGTCTCTTCAAAACGAGGACCCAACAACACAGGTTGGTTGGGAAAAACAGAACCGCCAACCGACGACTCCCGCAAGGAACCCGCACGCCACGCAACTCTGGGCGCCAAGCTCGTCACCTCCCTCTTCCGCATCAGATTTTTCCTCCGACCCCGCCCCCCTGCACCGCGCTTCCAACCCAGCCGCGCCCCGACACCGAGCATCCGACTCATGCCTCGGATGCCCCAGGTATATTGGGGGGCGCCTCCAACCCATGCCGCGGACATGCGCGGCCCCTCGCATACCTGCCCCCGCGCATTCGCTTGCCCCAATTTCCCCGCACTATCTCGCTGGCAGGCTCGCGGGCGCATTCGTATGTATCTCCTGTTTGAAATGCTGCTTGAAATGCTTGTTGGCATTATATATCGATGCCGCCAAAATCACGCCGCATTGATCTTTATATGTTTTGGGCCAGCCCTGCATGATATACTGATTCCGATCTTCGATTTGGCAGGTGCCTCCCTCCTTTGTCCCACTGCGTGTTCCCCCACTCCGATGCTCAATGCAATTCGCCTGGGGATCTTTGCTGAATGGCTGAATGGCTGGTGGGGATGCGTCAAACGTCAAGATTTCTAAGCAGAAACCTCATTATGTAATGGAACTGTGCACATGCGCTCCAACGTTCGCCCCTTCTGGTGAGATGCTTCGACCAATTCCACGAATTGCTCCGGGCAGCGACCTTCCGTCACCTTTGGCAATACCTTCACGCGCAAGTTCCGCTCCTTATCGCTCATGCGCAGAAACCTGGCGACGCTGCGAGCGGCACACGTTGAGGATATTGCACAATCGTGTTGGACATGATGCGTCATACGCGTGTAACCTCTGACTGTGCACCATGGACATGACACAGCATTCGCGAGCAACTCTACCCTGTCATTGGAAATGTCGTTGCGTTTCTTGGTCGACTGTGCCGCGGCTACTGTCTCCGGAACATATACGCAGCATTTGCGTACATCATATAAGTGTATATGAACACACTCGTGCATTCCGCGAACATGTGATGTCCGAATAATGCGGCTGTCCGTTCATGTCCAACATGACCACTTCTGACCAGCAGTTGGATAGGAAGCCATTGCACGACAACTCAGACCCTGGAGTGTTGAATTTCGTGGACAACACACTCTCATGAAGACTTCCCATCCAAACTACAATGAAAGTCGATGTGGATTTAGCGCGATCCCCGTCTTGTTTCATGAATCACCAAGTCCACGAACTATCCCACTAGCCAATCATACTCCGCAAACGATATCCCGAAAATGGTGACACGCCTATGACCGAGCATGCGCCTGCGAGATCTCATGCTTCCATTGACGATTCCTGTTCGTACCCTGTCTACTGCAAGTCAGGTGGCACGCTGCCACCGAGATTGGAGGATTGGAGATTGGAATTGCGCGGCAACCTGACAATTGATGCCTGCACCTTTCCCGGTGTACGTCCCCTTATGTTACCGTGAACTGGACCAGTTACACCTAGGAGCGTGTCCACGATTCGCATCGAAATTGGATCACAAAAGCTGAAGACACTGAGACATACTACTATCAGTACTCGCCCGCGCAGCACAGCGAACACAATCTCATACAGAAGATACACGCGAATCATGAAACATGAAGGCTATGCTTCGTCCCAGATAACTCCGCAGCGCATGACCGAAGTCTTGCAATTCGGAGCCTCACTCACAGAAAGAGACTTTGTGGAGCCCTGGCTGCGCATAGGCTTTTACCAGGGAAGGCAGACGAGGAAAACCAGAGGAACGATGCAATATTACGACCAAAAACAAGGGAACCCAGGGAACGAATATCAATATAGAGCTGTTGTTGGCATACATTTGGCGAGAGGACGACGACCGAATAATGTCAATAACGACAACGACGACACACACGAGCAGTACCAGAACCTAACTCACGAACCAACGCCGAGGGCGTTGCGTGAACCCCACCTCCAGCAAACCCAAGGGAATGACCGAATGAACCTCGACACTTTCCGAAGCAAGAACTGACCATGAGGGAAGCGGCTCCTGAGGAAAACAAGACCAGGACCCCGGGTCCCCCCCCAAGGACAAACTTTTCATCCTGAGTCGTGCTTTGACAGCCCTGGTCCCTCTAGGACCCATTTCCGTTGAGATCCCCGTACGTCACGGCGAAGAGGGACCTTCGTTCCAGATGTGGTGGCTGCGCCCGAGGCGAACTACCGTTGGAGCGACAAGGCGCAGTAGGAGGGGAACCCCGAGCGGCCTTCTCAGAGAGGCAAGGGCAATCGGCCCCTCCTCAGGGCTCCTAAGAGGAAGGTTCGTGGAAGACCGAAAGGCTTGGAAGGATCACGCCGTTGTTCGGACGCTGTTCGCGCAGGCGCGCTTTGGTTTCCGCGCGGGCTGCCTGGTGGCGATCGAACTCCCTGCCGCTCCACAGAGCGGCTTGCATGGGACCAATTGGCTGCACTTTGTAACCCCGCGGGCGCCAGGGTGTGCGAGACAGTCAGGTGCCAGCCAAAGCGATCGGTGGGCTGCACCGGCAGCTCATTCAGGCACGAAGCGGAAGAGCAAGAGACGAGAGAAAAAATAAAGACGGAGCCCGCTTGGACCATGTAAGCAGGCACGGGAATACCGGAGGGGAACATGCAATTGCATGCGAGTGCCAGTCGGCTACACGCAAAGGCGACCCCAGGCAAGCGAGCCTGTGGTGCCCAGCCTGCAGATCGTTGCATGCGATGTGAAAATAGCGGCCTACGTGTTTGGGTTTGGTCCCCAACGCCCTCCCAAAGACGCGCACCAAAGGTCACACCAGACAACGATCATTCTTACGTGTAGCCGAACCAGGTGAAGCCAGCGGGTACATGAAGAAACGCACCAACAAAAAACACGCGCTCGAGAGACGCCAAGAAGGGGTGGGTCCCTTCTGATAAGGTCGATTTTATGACGAAGGCAGGATCGGGGATAAATGTGGATGCGGATAACTCACGAATCTCTGAGAGCTGGCGAATCTGCAAGAAGTGTCGGGCCCCGCAGAGCGCTTCGGAACGCACTTAGAGCGTCCCGAAACGCTCTGGAGCGACTTATGCTCACCTTGGGCCTTCCGTTTGCTCGATCCAGATACCACTAATCCCAAAACGCTGACATCTCCTCAAGGGCTCGCACTCTTCAATCGGGCTTTGCCTACCTGGGGGGGACAAAAAACGGGCGGTGAAGAAGGGTGCACCTTTCGTGCGCCTTCGGGGCGCCTTTTGGGCCTCTTTCGGGCCCCTTGTCTGCAACCCAGTCAAATCGCGAGACGAACTAAGCCAGCACGAGAAGGAAGGAGGAGGCCTCGAATCGACTCGCTCTGAGGCGCCAATGTGTCCAGAGCCTCGTGTTAGCAAACTGGCGCAGGGAAGTGCCAATAGCCGCGGCTACGGACAAGCCCGGCGTGGCAACCACGAGAAAGCCCGACGATGCGCAGGCCCTGGGACCTTCGGCGGGGGCTCGAGGAGGGGGAGGGGGAGGAGGGGGAGGAGGAGGAGGAGGAGGAGGAGGAGGAGGAGGAGGAGGAGGAGGAGGAGGAGGAGGAGGAGGAGGGGGAGGAGGAGGAGGAGGAGGAAGAGGAGAAGAGAGGAGAGGAGAGGAAAGGGGAGGAGAGGAGAGGGGAGGAGGGAAAGCACAGGCTTGTCGATACGACATCGTAGCAGTGGACCACTACGAGTGGCCCGATCGAGAACTTCCGCTGGCCTTTCGCCGCTCTCGCTGGCGGAGGCGCCGTCTTCGTACATACGCAGACTCCTGCTGGCCCTCTGTCGAGGAGGAGGCATCGACTCCTTCTCAGCATGTTGGACGCCCGAATTATCTGGGATAACTGCGGTCCGGGTAACTCCGGCTTGGGCCCCCGAGGCACGAACCCGCAGCTATCCCTGACTGCCCCCAGCCCAGAAGATTCGGGAGTGGCTGGACGCCCGGATTGTCTGGGGTAACTCCCGTCCGGGGTAACTCTGGATTGGACCCGCGAGGCTGATCCTTCGAGGCTTTGAGCATATACGCGTAAACTTTCGGGGGTCCGCGCAGATTTTCTGGATCGTCGCTGACCCCCCAACCCCTGCGCGCGGAGCGCGCCGGGGGCGGCGCCGGAGGCGCCGCCAGGGGGATCGAGCGCAGATCCCAGAAATCCGCGCGCACCCTAGTGAGAGATTCCGACAACTCGACCCGAGCGCGCGCGGCAACGCTCGCCGCCTCTCGAAGAGGACGCCCTCTGGTCGTCTCGACCAGGCGCAATCCTGAGGCGTGGGCGGCCATCGACGTCGCCACGTTCATCCCCGTTGGCCCGCCCCCCCTGCTTGCAAGTTGCAGCGCTCGCAGGCTACAGTGGTCAACGCAGGCACTCTGGTGGCGGCCGCAGGCTCTTGCAGTCCTGGCAAGATCAGGCACACTGTGGTGCATACATCTGCCACCGCTGCTCGCAGGCACAACGTGGTGCTCACTGGCATGTTGTGGCGTTCTCAGGTTATTGAGGTCATCGCTGGCATACTGCGGCTCTCGCAAGCTACTGTGGTATCAGCAGGGTCGGGTATACTGTTGTGGATACATGTATGCATGTGCTGCTGCCATCCGCACGCATACCAGTGCTCATGGGCACGTTGTGTCGCTCGCAAGCTACTGAGGGTCATCACAGGCTATTATGTTACTGACAGGGCCTGGCTCAATGTTGTGCAGAATGTAGTGTTCGCAAGCTGTCGTGGTACTGGCAGACTGGCAGAGACTGGCTTCCCTCGCCATATGGAAGCCACGAACGCATTATTGCGGCGCTCTCGAGCACGTTCGATGTTCACAAGCTGTTCTGTTGCTCCCACGTGCTGCGCATGCACGCCTTCTGGCGTTCACAGGCCTTGCGATCTTCACGACGCACGCGGGTCTGATGTCGAGCGTGTATGGGCGTGCGTGTGCGAGAGCGTGCGCATCCCTCTGGTGCGCGCAGACCCCCAGCGCTCCGGTGCTGCACACACATGTGGGCCCCTGCGCCCATGAACACCTCTGCGGTTGCATGGACTTGCATGGGCGCCGCCAACCAGACCTCCGCCCCCACGTCACTGCTATCCACCCCACCCTCCAGGACCTCCTGCCCCTGTAACGAGCGTGGGACGGGGGGGATGTTCAACAAAAAACGGCCTCCCGGAAACCATCTAAATGCAACTGGAGCCTCCTCAACATCCGTGATCCATCTTTTCCTCGTGCTATCATCATCATCACCATCACCATCACCACCATCACCATCACCATCACCATCATCATCATCATCATCATCATCATCATCATCATCATCATCATCATCACAACCACCACCACCATCATCATCATCACCACCACCATCATCATCACCACCACCACCGCCACTACCACCATCATCAGAATCATCATCATCATCATCATCATCATCATCATCATCATCATCATCATCATCATCATCATCATCATGATCATCATCATCATAATCATCATCATCATCATCATCGTTATCATCTTCGTTATCATCATAATTATCATCATCATCATCGTCGTCGTCATCATCATCATCATCATCATCATCATCATCATCATCATCATCATCATCATCATCCGCCTCCTCCTCCTCCTTCTGCTCTTCCTTCTCCTTCTCTTCCTGCTCCAGACCGTGATCCTCCTTCCTCCAAATCGTCCTCCCCATGACTCCAGATTGTCCTCCGCCTCACCCAGTTCTTTCCGCCTCCTCCTCCTCCTCCTCACCATCATCAATCCTCTGGCACCGCCCAGGTTATGCACAGGTGGACAGGGGGCAGCCGGAAGTTCAAGACGAAGAAGAAGCGCGAGTCGCCAGCCTGAGATCGGCACTGCATCTACTACTCTGCCCTTCCCAATAGTCCTGCGGTTCGAACAAGCACGAGCGGCCAGAGCGTCCCATTTCAAGCCTCTGAGGGCCCGCCACGGTCCCCATGCATGGGCCCTCGAAGAAGACTCGGAATGAGAAGTCAGCCCCGGAGAAAGGGTCGAGAGGTCCAGGGGCCTAGGCCTCGAACAAAAAATGGACGCAGGATCTGTGGGTAATCACTCTCCTCCTTCCTCGCCAGGCGAGGCTCAATGTGCTAAATGTACAGGCGATCGAGTGGCAAGCCAAGCGACTTAAGCATGTTGTGGATTGGGGGAGCGAATGCGCGTTATGAGTTGCGACTTCTCCTCATGGTTGCTTCTTGTCGCAACAAGTAATATCCAGACAAAGGATGCTAAAAACATAAGGATGAATCCACCAGACTTCTGGGCTCAGGTGTTTTCGAGTGCTTTCTCTTCCAACCCCACAACAAAACTAACACAACATGCACTCTGCGGCAAAATCCTCGACCATGCGCGGGGGCCCCGCGATCACTTCGCAATGCCTTTTAATAAGAGCGGCGGGGGTGCAAGCACAATGCCTGGGGAGCGCAGGCCCACCATCCCTGTCAAAACAGAATGCAAAGCGCACATTGCGGCAAAAGCTTGGACCATGCGCGGGCGACCCACGATCACGTTGCATGGTTATTTGGAACAGTATGGTGGGGTGCCCTCATATTGTGCAGCGTGTGCGGGCACACCATCCAGATCAAAAACAAATGTAAAATGTTCCTACGGGATGTTCATCCAATGGCGACCCTCGCCAATGCTGAGACTCGGGTGCTACTTATGTGGTGGGAGGATGGGTGGGAGTGAGCGAGACGGCCGTTCTTCGGGGGGTAGCTTGATCCCTCCCCCTACTCCCTCCTATGGGTTAGAGCAGGGGGACGCGAGGCGTCAGAGCGTCCAAGATGGCCCACGATGGTTCCAAAGCGGCCCCAGATAGCCTGTGATAACCTGCAAGATGGTCTACGAGAGCCCAGCACGACTCAAGGTAACCTCTGGCATGCTTCCAAGAAGCCGCAAGACACCCAAGGACAGATCCAAGTTGCAACGGAGCGCCAAGGGGAAACCCCCAAGAGGAAAAGAAACGTCAAAGCCATGTGTGCGTGTGTTAAATGATGTTTGTAATATCGCAGTTTCGCTTCCGATGGGCTTATGAGGCCTCAACATGGCCCAAAGGTAACCCAAGAGAGGCCTTAAGAGGGGCCTATCACAGCTCCAAGACGTCTCCAAGACCGTCCAAAACCGCTCCAAGACCGCTCCAAGAAAATATGTCTCATGCTCCACGGGGCTGGTGCGTATCGGAGCCGGCGTTTTTTAACAGTGAAGAAAACATAAAACCGTTAGACCGTCGAACAACGTTGGCATTTGGGGTGGCGCCCCTTGGGAAGCCAAGAGGTACCCAAATAATACACACGGGTGCCCCCCCGGATGGCTCAACACAGCCAAATATGCTTCAATACCATGTCCAACATGCCTCCAATATACCATACGGCCACGCCAATACGGCTCCAAGTGGCCATGGAGCGCCCCCAGGAGATCCGCAAGAGGCCAACGTTGTTCAACATCAAAAATGACTGTGTGTGTGTGTGCGTGTGTATTTCTCGCCTTTCTCGTTTTCCATAAGCCTCGGAGGCCTCAAGATAGCCCCATGGACGGCCAATAGAGCACTAAGATGGGCCAACAAGCTGTCTAAGGCGGTCCCCAGATCGTCCAAGAGCCTGCCAATACTGCCCCGAGAGGGATCAAAGCGGCGGTGTTTCGTGCTCCAGGGAGGCCGCGCTAATCCGCGCCGCCCCCTTTTTGATCGATGCCGTCTGTACGCCAACCTCGAGGCCGAGGGTCCTCTTGAGGCTACTTGAGCAGGCCTCGTGCGTCGTCGTCATCTTCGTCGACGTCGCTCGTTTTCGTTGGCCTATCCTACGTGTCCTCCTCCTCCTCCTCCCGCTCCTCCACCTCCTCCTTATCCCCTTTCTCCTACGCGTTCCCCTCCCTTCCTTCCACGGCGGGTCAGCAGTTCCACTCCTGGACATGCTCGAGCCGATCCCAAATTTCGGCTTGATGACTGCCTGGCCTCGTTGTTCCACTGCATGATCCTACACTCCCCTGATCAGGGCAGCTCGCCTGGCGATCTTGCCCTGGATGGGCTGGTGGGGCACGCGGAGCGTCAATAATTCACATATTTGAGCGGCTTGGATATGGAGTGGTGGGCCGTGCCGTTGCGATCTGCGTGAGAAGTGCGTCCGATTTGAACATGTCCGAGGGGAACGGCCAGGCAATTCGAAGATGGGCGACACACTAGCCGCGCCTGAGATGCGTATGACAACAGTATGTGTCCTGGGATGGAAAGGAGGAAGAGAGAGAGAGAGAGAGAGAGATGGGGACAGCGGCAGGAAGAGAAGAACAAGGAAGATCAAGCGTGTTGAGGGGGGGCAAGGGTGGGGTAGGGATGTGAAGGAGTTCGACTGGCTAGCAGGGAGGAAACGAACCTGGAAGTGTGCAGACAACCCTGGGGGGCAATGATACACAATGACTTCGCCACTCTCTAAATAGTCAATCCGTATAGTAAGGATGCGCGGTAAGGATGCAAGGGCCTTTGGGGGCAATGTTAACGTTTTTCGAGCGAGGTTGGCCAGCGAAAGTCGCTAAGGATGGGCCGAAGGGGCAAGGATGCAAGGGCAGCCTTGGAAAATTGCAAATCCATACGTTATGCGGGTTGCTGTACGTACGGTCTGAGGTGTGCCTGGAAAGACCTGCGCGAGCTCCCTGCGCAGGCTTCTCTCTGGAATGCGGGTGGGAACGACGAGAAAAGTGGAGCAGGAGGATGGGAAGAGTGGAGGGAGGGTAATGGAGGAGGATAAGGAGGAGTTTAGTGCATTGCTGACGCCCTTGAGGGCAAGCATAACCCTGACGAGTCGGACAGGGCACGTACGCTCTCTCAACCTCGAGGGCGGTGCTCATGAAGGTTGGGCGGGTACGCCTGGTCCAGGATGGGGGAGAAAGGGTGAGGGGCACGTCAGCGGGAACACATCGAGCTAGAATCGCCGATGCATCGCCGATGCATCGGCGACAAGCCCCCGATAGCAAATCCGCACGATCCTGGGCGGGCCGGGTTATCGGACACCCCTCGGGCGATCAATGGGCGACTGGGGGTCGAGGCATCGATGCATCCCCCCTTGAGCCCATCCCCCCCTAACGTTGCCCCTGATTCTGGGCCAGGAATAGGAAGAGAAAAGGAGGACAAGGAGGAGGAGGAGGAGGAGGAGGAGGAGGAGGAGGAGGACAGGGAGGAGGAGAGGAGGAGGGAGGAGGAGGAGGAGGAGGAGGAGGAGGAGGGAGGAGGGAGGAGGAGGAGGAGGAGGAGGAGGAGGAGAAGGGGAGGGAGGAGGAGGAGCGTCCGCCGTTTTGCACCCTCACCCCTCGACCCGGCCGTGGCAGCCCAGCTCCGCAGCAAGTGCTCGCAAGGCCCGCCCCCCGCAGGTCTGCGGGACACCGGGCGAGTCCCTCAGAAGAGCGACGAGCCGTGCCTGCTGATGCCCCGGGGGAACGTCGACCTCCCTCCATCGCGCTGGGAGGCAAGACCGGACAGGGGGACCCAAGCATCCAACGTCTTGAAAATCAAATCTGGGGGCCCTCACCGGGCCGCAAGATCATCGAAGAACGACTCAAAGTGAAAAACGAGCCCTGGGGAAAGAGTCGGGAAATCCGTGCATCCCGTATTGGGCAGATGAAAACACCGGATGTCTGAGGGAAAGGAAGAAAAGGCAGGAAGGACGGGGGAGCAGCAGGGGGAGAAGGGGACAGAGACAGGAGGGCGAGGATGGGGAAGAGGAAGTGGAGGAGATCACGAGGGACAGGGAGGCGAAGGAGGGAGGATGGAGGAGAAGGGAGGAGGAGGGATAGCTTGACGCTCACTTCATAGAGATACCTGCACCGCGCTGCGGTGCATGCCCAGGTGTCGCTCGTTCCTCTGATGATCCTGGCCACAATTTCCAAACACGAGTGAGTCCAAATCCTCGCGCCTGAGTTCCCGCACTCTGGTACCTGCGAGGAGTGCGAGGGTCGGCCTGGCGAAGAGCTCGAGCCAGAGAGGATCGGAGCCCTGGCCTGAACAAATCATCGGGGCGGCGTGCACTCAGCTTTCAGCTTCGATGTGCGAGAGGCTGCGCATACGGTGCAGCGTGGGGCTACACCACGAGGAACGCTGGAAAAGAGAGGGCCAGCGTGCACTCAACTCTCAGCTTGGACGTGCAAGAGGCTGCGCAAACGGTGCAGCGTGGGGCTGCACCACGAGGCACGCTGGACAAGAAAGGGAGGGGGCTACTCCCGGCCGCGGCGGGCCTCGGCCACGAAGGCCACGCATGCGCTTACCGACTGGAGCCATCTACGGGACGGCCCGACAGCGAGGGCCCGAGCCCAAAGCGGTCATTTCAGCGTCTCGGCTGTGCACGCCTGCGAGAAACGTTGCAGCAAACAACTGCAGAACGATGGCACACGATGGAATAGCATCGGCGATGTCGACATGACAATCCTTAAATCATGATTCCAACAAATTCAACGCGCGCAGATGCGTGAAATGGTCAGGAAATCTATATATATAGAGAGAGAGAGATGCATATAACTACACAATCATATATAGTATGCGTGGCGTGCAAGCATCGCGGCAACATTGAGAGGCGGATGCCACTTGATGCCCAGGTGTTTATCCAAGGTGATCCCTGTCTGCCGCAGCTGCGGTCGGTTGTAATTTCGGCCTTGCAATGTCGCCCCTACGGTGCGAAACCCGCCGTGCACTAGGCAGTGCGTTCTTCAAGGTGTTTCGTAAAATTGACAGGCAGATGCGTCTCAATGCGCCAAGTCCCGTCTGCAGTGTTTGAATTTCGGATTCGCATTCATACCCGTGCCGTGTTTGTGATTATCTCTGTTAGCTGGTATGAGTGAGTTAGCTGAA